CTCTTTTTTTTTTTTTTTTTTTTTTTTTTTTTTTGAGTACTGAGGATTGAATTCAGGGGCACTAGGCCACTGAGCCACATCTCCAGCCCTATTTTGTATTTTATTTAGGCAGGGTCTCACTGAGTTGCTTAGCACCTTGCTTTTAATGATGCTGGCTTTGAACTTGCAATCCTCTTGCCTCAGCCTCCCAAGCTGCTGGGATTACAGGTATGCGTCACTATGCCCAGCTGGCCCCTCACTTTTTTATTTTTTTATTTTCTTAGTTGTAGATGGACACAATACCTTTATTTATTTGTTTATTTTTATGTGGTGCTGGGGATCAAACCCAGTGCCTCACGCATGCTAGGCAAGCGCTCTACCACTGAGTCACAGCCCTAGCCCTAGCCCCCTCACATGGATATCCAGTTGTTCCAGGAGCGGTTGTTGTTCTTCATCTTTTTTTAATTTATTTTTATTTGTTCTACTTAGTTGTACTTCACAGCAGCATGCACTTCAATTCATCGTACACAAATGGATTGCAACATTTCAGTTCTCTGGTTGTACTTGGTGTAGAGATGCACCATTTGTGTAATCATACATGTACCTAGGGTAATGATGTCCATCTGATTCCACCATCTTTCCTACCCTCATAACCCCTTCCTACCCTCCCCTTTGCCCAGTCCACAGTTCTTCCATTCTTCCCATGCCCCAGCATCATAGATCAGCATTCACTAATCAGAAAACATTCAGCCTTTAGTTTTGGGGGATTGGCTTACTTTGCTTAGCATAGTATTCTCCAACTCCATCCATTTACCTGCAGATGCCATAATTTTATTCTCTTTTAATGCTGAGTAATATTCCATTGTGTATATATGCCACAGTTTCTTTATCTGTTCTTCTATTGATAGGCATCTAAGTTGGTTCCACAGATTAACTATTGTGAACTCAGCTGCTATAAACATTGGTGTGGCTATGTCACTATAGGGCCTTGCACTATAGTATGCTGATTTTAAGTCCTTTAGGTATAGACCAAGGAGTGGATAGTTGGGTCAAATGGTGGTTCCATTCCTGAGGAATCGGGAGCAATTCTTCTAAAGACTCTCTTTTGCCCATTGAATTACTTTGCCATCTTTGCTGACAATCAGTTGGTCATACATATGTATTATGCATTCTCAGATCTATAATGTTGATCAATATGATCTACTTCTGCCAGTACTATACTGATTTGATTACTGAAATGTAGTAAGCTTTCAAATTGAGTAATATGAAAACCAGCTTGTTGTTTTTTTCAAAATTGTGTTGGCTATTTGAGTTCTTTCTAATTCCAAAAAAGTTTTGAATCAACTTGTCAATTTCTACAGAAATGTCTCCTGGGATTTTGATGTTTGTCTGGGGACAACTGCCATCTATCCATGAACATGGTATAGCTCTCTATTTCTTTTTCTTTTTCTGAGGTGGAGGGTAAGTATCAGGGGTTGAACTCAGGGCATTCAAACACTGAGCCACATCCCCAGCCCTATTTTGTATTTTTATTTAGAGACAGGATCTCACTGAACTGCATAGTGCCTTGCTTTTGCTGAGGCTGGCTTTAAACTTGAGATCCTCCTGCCTCAACTTTCCGAGCTGCTGGAGTTACAGGCATGTGGCACCATGCCTGGCTATAGCTCTGTATTTCTTTAAAACTTCTTCAGTTTCACTTAGCAGTGGTTTTCAGTTTTCAGAATTTTTTTTTGCATATTTATATATTTTTTGCATATTTATATATAGCTTGTTATATTTAGTAATGCCTAGATTAAACTGAAATGTATCTTCCCTGTGGTATGCTGATATCTCTGCTTAGTTTTTATTTCTATTTTTTTAAAGTTTATTTTTGTAGTTGTAGATGGACAGCATGCCTTTATTTTATTTGTTAATTTTTATGTGGTGCTTAGGATTGAACCCAGTGCCTTACACATGCTAGGCAAGTGCTCTGCCACTGAGCTACATCTCCAGCCCTCTGCTCAAATTTTTTTAAATATGTTCTTTTTAGTTGTAGTTGGACACAATACCTTTATTTTATTTACTTATTTTTTATGTGGTACTGAGGATCGAACCCAGGGCCTCACACGTGCTAGGCAAGCTTTCTGCCGCTGAGCCACAACCCCAGCCCTCAAATTTTTAAATTCTTAATTTCATTTGTGTTGTTAGCCAGACTTTTGGTGGGTTCTATTTATGGGTGTTTACCTTGGTTGTCAGCCTGTGATTTTGACAGTGGTCTTGAAATAATTTGAGCTTCTAAGGTTTTTAATCTCTTGATCAACTTGTGTGTTGTCTTAGAGAAATGCTCCAAGATTATAACTGATGCCAGGAATGGTGGCACATTCCTGTAACCCCAGGTACTTAGGAGGCTGAGGCAGGAGTGCAGCAAGTTTGAACCAGCCTGGGCAACTTTGTGTGACTGTCTCAAAATGAAGAGGTAGAGTGACTCCCTAGCATGGATGAGACCCTGGGTTCAGTCTCCAGTTTCAGGGGAAAAAAACCGAAACAGATTATTACAACCAGTTCTGAGTTCTCCTTGGGCTTTCAATTTTCCCTGGCCTCCTCAAGTCTCAACTAGTCCATGTGTAATTTCCCAGTCAGTCAAGGTTTCTGGAGAGCTTGTCTTGGACTTTCTGTAGCTCTGTGTCAGTGTTTTCTCATTTAATCTCTGGATGTTCTGCATACCTAACAAGGATCTTTGTCTTGGGCTAGCAAAACTATCCATTCCCACCAACATTCACCACTTTTAGTGGGTAGCGCCATGAATTTTCTTCCTGCTTCAAACTGAGTCTACCCCCTAGGGCAGCAAAACCACTAATTTTCATAGCCAGCTCCATGCTGAGAAACTAGCATCATCACCAACTGATTGTGCTTTAGGCAGTGAGAATCAAAGGGTAGGGGATTGCTAGAAACCAGGCTGGAAGGGGGTTATTACGTGGACCCCTAGAGGAGTTTTAAGAATATGTGCTACTCAGTTTGTTTGGTTTACGTTGTCCAGAAGTCATTGTTTTTGACAGCTTTGTCTTAATTTTAAATATATTCTTTGTGGCAAGGAATTGCCTACCTCTTCATGCTGTGAGCACAAGAATTTCCTTTTTTTTCCTAACTGTTGAACTTCAGAGAATGCCTAAGGTCCACATCAGATAGAGACAAAAGTGCGAATAGGATACCAATGCCTAGCCTCCATCCCAAGCCTGTTGTATCAGAATCTCTTGTGAAGGACCTTGGCTTTGGATAGTTTAAAAACAAAACAAAACATCAACAAAAAAACCCTCAGGTGATTGTGATGGGCAATTACTGTTGAGAACCAAGGTCTAGAACTTGGTCTGGAAAAGCAAGCTTTTTCTGTAAAGGGTTGCCTGGGAAGTGTTTTAGGCCTCATGGCCATAGAGTCTCTTTATCACAGTTCTTTTTTTTTTAATATTTATTTTTTACTTTTTTAAGTGGACACAATATCTTTAGTTTACACTTATGTGGTACTGAGGATCCAACTCAGTGCCTCAACCATGCTAGGTGAGCACTCTACCACTGAGCCACAGCCACAGCCCTTTATCACAGTCTTTAGCTCAGTAGTTGCAGTGTGAAAACAGCCACAGACTCTACTGAAGTAGATGTGGCTGTGTGCTAGTAACTTCTTTATAAAATCAGGCAGTGGCTGAATTTTCCCAAGAGTCTTAATTTGCACACCCTTGGCCTAGGAGCACTCTCCAAAGTTATTTCAGGTGTTTATATTCATGTTAATTTAAGGTAATGAAAGTATTTCTTAGTAAAACTGAGCCAATATGTTTGTCATTGATGTCTTTAAAGAATTAGTCCTTGGGCTGGGGTTGTGGCTCAGTGGTAGAGCGCTTGCCTAGCGCGTGTGGGACCCTGGGTTTGATCCTCAGCAGCAGGTTAAAAAACAAATAAAATGAAGGTATTGTGTTCAACTACAACTAAAAAATAAATATTAAAAAAAGAATTAGTCCTTAATTTCCTTTAGTAAGGTGGATTTTATTTTATTGTGTTATTTTGGTTCTGGGGATTGAACGTGAGACACTCTACCAACTGATATATATCCCCAACCTTTTTTTTTTTTTTTTTTTTTTTTGAGACAGGGTCTTGCTAAGTTGCTGAGGCCGGCCTCAAACTTAACATCCTCCTATCTCAGCCTCCTGAGTCACTGAGATTATAGACTTGAGGCACTGAGCTTGGCCAATAAAGTGTTTTAACTGATACATACTTTCCTGTCTTTGTTACTAAAATATGTGAGAAAATGTACCAACTACACACAGTCTAGTTGAGAGGTGTGAATGTGTTGACTTAATGAAATTTTTGCATTGACTAGTGTTTGTGGCACCATCAACAAAGATGCATGAATTAGATCTGGGGCAGACAGGAGGTGTAAGAAAAATAGGATTCAAAATCAGGAATATAAAGAGGTCTGGCAGTGCTTGTTTTACTGCTATGAAATCAAGTGTCAAAACTCGGTCAGAGTCTCCAAGTTGAGCTTTCCTGGCTGTCAGGTAGAATGCACAATGGTGAGTATTGTGGGGAATTGGTCCAACAACTTATTTTCAGTTCTGCGACTTGAACAACTATTTAAGGATATAGGTCTCTATAGTATAACAATACCTGACAATCTTTCTGAAATCATAGAAAATACACTTGAGTAATTGCTTCATTTTTATTTTGTAGTGCTGGGGACTAAATGCTAGACAAACACTCTACCACTTACCTATAGCCCCATTTTGAAAGAACCTTTCCTCCCAATTCAAAAAAGCAATGATTGTCTACTTGAATAAAACTTGTAGAGAGCTGGGTGATTTGTTTATTCCAAAATCTGTGCCTTACTGGAAAGCAATGACTATGAACCATTTAAAATAAAATGTGTAATTATAATCTATATTTTCTCTTAGAAGATGAGATGCTGAATCTTAGTTCTGCTGTCCCACCTCTGCTTAGTTATTCAGCTTTTTAATTGGGGGATCATTCTCTGCCCTCTCTCTTTTTAATTTTAATAGGAGACCTCCATTTTGGAAGAATACAATATCAATTGGACTCAGAAGTTGGGAGCTGGAATCAGTGGTCCAGTTAGGTAAGAGACCCATGTGAGAATTGTGGCAACTTTGTTCTGAGTAGGACCATTTGAAATATGTTCTGAATTAGAAGTATCAGATATGCCAGATTTGAGAAATGACCTTAAGTTAACAAGTAGAGGATTTTTGTTTGTTTGTTTGTTTGTTTGTTTTTGTTTTTTGATGCTGAGATTGAACCCAGATCTTCAGGCATGCTAAGCACATGCTCTATCACTGACCTCATTCCTAGCTTCTGTTTGAGGTTTTTTCTTTTTTCAGGGTCAGTAATTGAACCCAGGTCCTTGGGCATCCTAGGTGAGCACTCTGCCACTGAGCTAAATCCCCAACTCCTTGAGGTTAGGTCTTTCTTTCATGCATCTAAAAATGTAGTCAAGTGTCCAAGTCACATGCTGTGTAATTCAGAATCATTTAGGATGAGATTGTGGAGCCACTATGAGAGTCATTTGTACCCAGGAGAGGCCACTATTTCTTCATTGGCTCATTGTGGCAAGTTGATGTCATGCATTCAGGAGCTGTGACTTGGGCATCTGGGAAGAAGAGTGAGATGCCTCTGGAATTAATTTTCACTGTAACATAGATGATCACTGATTGTTTTTTTTCTCTCTCTCCAAATCTAGAGTCTGTGTAAAGAAATCTACCCAAGAACGGTTTGCACTGAAAATCCTTCTTGATCGTCCAAAAGCTAGAAATGAGGTATGGTCCTGTATTGCCTTGACTTGCCTTGAAGTGCCTAAGAATTGTTCTTTTACAATTAAGGCAGCTTCCTGGAGAGAATACAGAGATACATGAAGCATTTTATGTCCTATTCCTATTATCATTATTAAGTTATTCTAGATCTGTCCACATGGAAACTGTTAGTAGAGTCTTTTTTTTTCTAATCATCCTGACATATTCGGTTTACTTCAGTTTTTGCTTATTGAAAATTGCACTTGAAGGATGGAGATAAAATAGGCTGAGGAAGGACAAGTTGAATGTTGTATATAAAAGTGATGCTGCAGGAGGACTTGAGGATGTTCCTAGTTTTTTAAAATATACACTGATTTAAAATTATCTGGATGCAGTGATAATATGCTATTAATGCGTGCAGTGAGGGATTTACTTGTGTGCTTAGAGAGATGGAGTGTTTTCTGGAATGAGTTATTTGCCCAATTTTTTTTTTTTTCATTTGCTAATAGGATTGTAGAAAGTAAGTCTGTTAGTGAGATTTTATTTATGGAAAGAGCATTAAGGAGATAATCTGTGAAAACAACATCATTCCCAGTGATAAGCCTTTTTACTAAAATAGGCTTATCCCTTGTACCCAGTATGGTCAGTTTTTGGTGGGAAGTTTGGAGAGCAAATGTTAGCACCACTTTGTACAGAAACATTTCCTCTGTTCTCTTTAAGGTACGCCTGCACATGATGTGTGCCATACACCCAAATATAGTTCAGATTATTGAAGTGTTTGCTAACAGTGTACAGTTTCCTCATGAGTCCTGTCCCAGGTAAGACTACATAGGATCATCATCACATATCCATTTGTAGGCCAAGGTGTAGCAGAGTCTTCCTTTCTTTTATGCATTCTTTCCCCTCCCTCTGTCCTTTTCTCCTCTACTCTCTTTGAATTTTGGGAAAATATTAAACATTTGCAGGAGCAGACAGAATTATAATGTTTCCCCAAGTGGTCATCACTCAACCTCAACAATTAGCATCTCAGAGGCAGTCTTGTTGCAACTACTATCCACTCTCAAAATATCCCTGATTTCTTTCTTTTTTAAAGAAAGCACTTAATGTGGAATTTCTATAGATTGTATTTCTAATCAGTGCAAGGGCCCTAAATGTTATTCTAGGTGAAGTCTTAGACACTGATATAGCAAAAAGCCCTGTTGCTTAGTAGGACTTTTCCTTGAAGGAGAAGTAAAAATGATTCTTTTAGTTGCCAAGTGTTTGGCTAACATATTCGATGACATTCTGAGTCTCTTCTTGGAAATTCTTTGGGGAGACCTAGGTGTAAATCCATCATCACAGCAATGTGAAAGGCACCCAGGAGAGGCATCAGTGAAACATTCTGAGCTTTATATAGGAGGGGAGCTGTTTTGGAGGCTGTGTGAAGTGAAGGCCAGGGCTTGAAAAGGAGGGTAGGAATTTTACAGATGGAGAATGAAGATGGAATTTTAAAAACAAATGGAAAATCAAATGATTATTTCTCACAACTGTGCTCTGTTGGTGAAAGCATTTGGCTGGAAGCTGGAAGCATTTATATAAAAGGATGGTAACCAAAATTCATGGGATTTTTTGTTTGTTTGTTTTTTGGTTTTTGGTTCTTTTTTTTTTTTTTTTTTTTTTCTCCTTTAAACGTAAGAATTTTTGCTCTTATTTAGTAGTTGTGTTACCCTGGACTTAGGAAGTGGTTATACACTTTTATTTTTTATTTTTTATTTTTTTTAACTTAACAAAATCAAATGCTTTCAAACAGGGCTCGACTCTTAATTGTAATGGAGATGATGGAAGGGGGAGAGCTATTTCACAGAATCAGCCAGCACCGGCACTTTACAGAGAAGCAAGCCAGCCAAGTAACAAAGCAGGCAAGTTAACCCCGGGTACCAATCAAACTGCCAACAAAGTTGGTTAACAAGCACAATTCATTAGGGGAAATAAAAGAAAGCTTAAAGAAAAGCTCTATTTGACTTCACATTGCCTGCTTTGTTATGTAATCAGAAAGAATATCTTAACAGGAGAAATGTGACTCCTTTTACTCTATGGGGGGAGGACTGTATTCTTAATTGTTGTCAGTGTTTTCCTGAGGCCTTTTGTATGATTTAAGTAAACTATGAAAGGAAGATAATTTACCTCCTTTATCTCTTTTAATATCTTTGGATATCTAGCTTCTAAATACTATTATTAGACTTTTGAGTTCAAATGCTGTTGATACCACCTGAAGATTGTATGGTATAAAATCTGTTGTAAGATAACGGTACAGAAGACGCTTCCTGCACATGAGTCAGCTTCCTCACATTTCTGCAGATTTTTCTAAGATCTTTGGGGCTAGGGTTGTGGCTCAGTGCTTGCCTAGCATGCATGAGGCATGGGTTCAATTCTCAGCACCACATAAAAACAAAATAATGTGTTCATCTAAAACTAAAGATACATAAATAAATATATATGTATATTTTTAAAAAGAGCTTTGTAATTCTGGGTCATTCCTAGTTATTTTCTTTATCCTGACATCACATTTTATTGTTATAGAAATAAATTATGTTACAAACAATAGTAGGACTCTAATTGGTACTAACCTCTTCTAGAGGTGAAAAGCTAAAAGCTCAAGGTCTACCTTCAGACTAGGCAAGCAGGGCAAAGAAAAGCGGGAAGCACAGCCTAATTAGGCTTTAATGAAAAGCACTTCCAAATTTTCTTGGGGCATTTTGCAGGCATTTTTGGACACTTTCTTTCTGATTGATTAGGGAGGAACTGATATTTGGATTGCTGAAAATTCCACCTAGAATTGAAGAACAATAGAATTATTCTTTGTATTTGTTTCTTAAAATTACAACTTTTATTTTTTAAATATTAGGACTAAAGAATGATCTCTGAAAGTCTTCTGTAAAACAAAAGCCCCTCAAGTTTATACAAACAGGCAACATTTTCAACAAGTAAGATGAGCAAATTGGAATATCAGTTGGAAAAAACCAGCCAGCTGGTTTGAAGGCAAAGCCTTCCATTCAGCTTCTTAGAGAGTGCCACTTTCCTAAGCCCGGTCCTGCCACTGCCCTGGTGGGGGAACCTGTGCCTGCTGAAGATTGCCCAGCTCAGCATTTCCTCTGCAGTGCCTATTACATCTCAGATGAATAAAAATGGGAACATTTCATTTTTTCATTTCTTACAGGATGTAACCATCAGTTTATTCTGGCAAAATATTGTTTTACTGGCATATTTTTCTTTTGGTCTAGCAAAATATAGTTTGCAATTAAACTAAGCTTAATTTCATTTCTGTTTCTTGGTACCTCAAGCCTTTATTAATTTCTGCTTTGAAATGGAAACTGACCACATTTTTAATTGACTTTAATGAAGGATTGTTTTTAAACACCTCTTTCTCTATACTAGGGACATTAAATATTGTTCTTTTCTAAGAGGTGGCTGCTCCACTGTGTCCTTTTTCAGATAGCTCTGGCTCTACAGCACTGTCACTTGTTAAATATTGCGCACAGAGACCTCAAGCCTGAAAATCTCCTTTTCAAGGATAACTCTTTGGTAAGAAATCTTGCTTTTGTGCATTTTAGTGCTTCTACTCTTAACATAACTCAGGAGTGGCTATGTCTGTGTTTGGGGTGCTCCTAATCCATGGTGAAGAGGCTTTAGGACAAAGTGCTTCTGATAGCTTATTTCTTCCATTTGTCCCATTAGAGGAGGGAGGCTCAGAGGAATTGTACCAACCCCTGGCATTAGTAATTTTGGATGATACCAATATGTGTTTGTGGGATTTAGGATTTTTAATATTATTTAAAGGGCTTTTGGGAAGGGGCAGGCGTTTGTATGCTGTTATACATCACCTTGAAACTTGGAACAGTTTCATTTGTTGTTAACTCTGATAAGGTGTGTGTTTCCCTTCAGTCCTGCCCCTTGCCCCCTGCACTATGTCCTACCACCTAAGTTGCTCTGGCTGTCATAGAGCTTAGGACTGATGTTCAGAGTGAAGCAGTGTCCTGGACTGGTGAGAGTTGGTGGGCCTACAGAGCAAGGGGGCAGCAGGCTAAGCTCTTGATTTTAGAGCTGCATTTCCAAGTTATAAAACAAGGCTAGCTAGGTGAGTAGGAAGAAATTCCTCTTATTACTAAGAACAATCCCTGAATATGAATCCTTGTCTCCAGAGCTGGGTACATATTATCTACAGGCTTAGGTCTCAGATTTCATCCAGAAACCTGTAAGGGCTCAGGGTAACATGTCTTGGACCTGAACTTTCCGGGTTGTTTATATTTTTTTCTTTTTTTAAGTTGTAGATGTTCACAATGACTTTCTTTCTTTCTTTCTTTCCTTATTAGTTGTTGATAGACCTTTATTTTATTTATTTATATATGGTGCTGAGAATCGAACCCAGTGCCTCACACATGCCAGGCAAGTACACTACCACTGAGTCACAGTCCCAGCCCTATTTATTTATTTTTTTGTGGTGCTCAGGTCGAACCCAGTACCTCACACGTGCCAGACAAGCACTCTCCCATTGAGCTATAGCCTGAGCCCTGAATTTCCCTTTAATATATACTGAGAACTCTGGAGTAGTGACGCCAACCCCCCACCCCCCTTTTTTTGTTAATTTCAGGATGCTCCAGTGAAGCTGTGTGATTTTGGATTTGCTAAAATTGACCAAGGTGACTTGATGACACCTCAGTTCACCCCTTATTATGTAGCACCTCAGGTAAGCATGTGCTCTTTCTTCCCAATAATGTGTTACTAAACTGCCATAGACTTATGTCCCTTCTGTTCTATAGCAAAAGTAAGCTTGTGCTACAGACGTCAGCTTCAGAAACCTACAGATTGCTTCATTTGGTTTAGATACTTCATTCTTTTAAAATCAACTTTTACTGAGGTTGATTTAGAGGTATGATTTATAAACAGTAAAATGCTGTGGTCGTGTATCTCTGGGGAATATATTCCAGAACCTCCTAAAATCAAAGATAAGACCCAATCCCTATATGTACTCTATTTTTTCCTACACACACACACACCTTTGATAAACATTAGCCTTTTCACTTAAAGGAAGCACTTCATGGCTTCTCTTTGACATCTCTGAATTGTCAGCATCAGTACTCTTTCAGTTTGTGGCTGTGCTGTTATTATGTTATTATGCTTGAACACAAGCACTGTAGTACTGAGATAACAGTTGGTCTGGTAACCAAGCTAGCTACTAAGTTTCTCTAACAAGCAGATGGATAGTGGATATGCTGGACAAAGGAGTGACTCAATCCTAGGGTGGATTGAGCAAGATGGCCCAAGACAGTGTAAGATTTCATCACACTATTCAGAACTGTGCACAATTTAAAATTCATGAATTATTTCTGGAATTTTCCATTTAATTTTTTGGACTGTGGTTAACCTCAGCTAACCTCAATTGAAATTGCAGAAAGTGAAAACACAGATAAAGGAGACTACATGGAAATCTTCATTGTGGTAGTGGTCATGTGGAATACGTATTTGTCAAAATTCATCAAATTATACCTAAATAGGAGTACAGTAGTCTCCTAACTAACCCTGGCCTCGGGGAAACACTGTTCTGCTTTCTATCATTGGTTAGTTAAGCCTGTTGTCAAATTTCAGAAAAATGGAATCAAGGACTTTTCACATTTGACCTCTTGTGCTCAGCATGTTTTGAAGGTTGGTTCATGTTGCTGTGTTTATCAATAGTTAGTTCCCTTTTATTGTAAGTCCATGATAGGGCCAGACTACGTTTGTTTTTCTGTGCACAGATTGATGGCCATTTTGGATTGTTTCCTGTTTTTGACTGTTATGAATAAAGCCGCTAGGAACATTCATTTGCAGGTTTTGGGAGCCATGATTTTCTACCCCTAAGTAAGTACTTTTTAATAATTTTTCAGTACTGGGTATTGGGCCTAGGGCCTCACACTTGCTTGGCAGGTGCTCCACCACTGAGCTACAGCCTCAGCCCTTTATACTTTTTAATTTTGAAACAGAATCTTGCTAAGTTGCCCAGGCTGGCCTCAAACTTGCTCTTGCCTCAGCCTCCTGACTAACTGGGATTATAGGCATTAACCACCACACTTGGATTTTGGGGGGCTGCTTTGACTATGATTTATCCATGTTGTTGCATGTATCACTAATTTATTCCTTTTTATTCTTGAAAAGGATTCTGCTATATGATATAACCATGATTGGTTTATCCATTCGTCTATTGATAGATTTTTTTTTTTTTCCATTTTCTTGCTGTTACAAAAAAGCTCTTATAAACATTTGTATAGTTTTATTTCTTTTTCTTTTGGGCAAACTCCTAGAAGTGGAATGGCAAGATCGTGTGGTAGGTGTATGTTTAACTTTTTTAGAAACTACCAAGTTGGCCAGGCACTATGACACACATCTGTAATCCCAGCTGTTCAGGAGGCTGAAGCAGTATTGCAAGTTGGAGGCCAACCTGGGCAACTGCCTCAAAATAAAAATTTAAAAAGGTTTGGGGATGGTAGTCGTAGAACACTTACTTTGCATGCTCAAGTCCTTGGGTTCAATTTCCAGTATCGCAAAAAAAAGAAACTAAATTGTTTTGCAAAGTGACTGTATCATTTTACATTTCTACCAGCAGTGTATGAAAGTTTTAGATCTTCTATATTCTCACCAGCATTTGTAATGGTGATTCTTTTTAATTTTAGCCACTTCAGTGGATGCGGAGAAGTATTTCGTGTGGTTTTAATTTACATTTCTCTAATAACTAATGATGTTGAACATCTTTTCGTATGCTTCTTTTCTTCATATTTTCTTCACTGAAGTATGTGTTCAATTTTTTCTCATTTTTTAAATTGAAATTTTTGTTTTCTTATTTTTAATTTTGGTTTTTTATATATCTTGAATATAAATCCTTTATTAGATATGTACTTTGCAAAGACTTTCTTCCAGTCTGTGGCTCATCTTTTTTTGGGGGAGGTGTGGTGGGTATCGGGGATTGAACTTGGGGGCACTCAACTACTGAGCCGCATCCCCAGTCCTGTTTTGTATTTTATTTAGAGACAGGGTCTCATGGATTTGCTTAGTGCCTGGCCATTGTTGAGGCTGGCTTTGAACTCGTGATCCTCCTGCCTCAGGCTTCTGAGCTGCTGGAATCACAGGCATATGCCACTGTTCCCGGCTATCTTTTCATTTTTTAGCAGTCTTTTGAAGAGCAGATTTAATTTGATGAAGACCAATTTATCAGAATTTTTTTTAATGTCCTATGTTTTTGGTTTCCTATGTAAAATCATTGTTTAATTGAAGATCACAAAAATTTTATACCATGTGTTCTTCTAGAAATTTTATATAGTTTTAGGTTTTATATTTAGGTCTGTGATCCATTTGAGTTAATTTTTGTATACATTATACATTATAAGGTATGAACCCAAGTTCACTTTTTTAAATTTTTTTTTTAACATTTTGCTTTAGTTGTAGTTGGTTGGACACAATACCTTTATTTTATTTTTATGTGGTGCTGAAGATTGAACCCAGCGCCCCACACTTGCTAGGCAAGCGCTCTACCACTGAGCCACAATCCCATCCCCTCAAGTTCACTTTTTAAACTTCACTTTTTTCAAAGGTTGTCTTTCCTCTACTGTATTGTTTTTGAATCTTTGTCAAAATTTGGTCGAACAATCCCGTTATGCCACCACACACTTATCTATAATCCCAGGCTGAGGCAGGGGGATTGAAAGTTTGAGACCAGCCTCAGCAGTTTGGTGAGACAATGTCTAAAAATAAATAAATTTTTAAAATAAAATTTAAAAGGGCTGGAGATATAGCTTAATGTAAAGATCCCCCCCTCCCTGGTACTGCCCCCTCCCCAAATAATTTCAACATTTATGTATGGGTTTATTTCTCAAATCCCCATTGATCTCTTTTATTTTTTTGTTTTTTGCAGTTGTAAATGGACAGAATGACTTTATTTATTTTTTTAATGGGTTGCTGATGATCAAACACAGTGTCTCACACATGCTAGGCAAGTGCTCTGCCGCCGAGCTACAGCCCCAGTCCCCCATTGATTTCTTTATCTGTCTTTACTCCACTATTGCAGTGTTTTGATTATTGTAGATTTATAATAATTCTTGAAATCAGGTAGTCTTAGTGTACTTCTTTTTCAGAGTTGTTTTGGCTGTTCTGATTTTTTGCATTTCCATATGAACTTAAGAATTCACTGTTAATTTCTGTTTAAAAAGTCTGCTGGGATTTTGACTAGGGTTGTTTTAAGTTCAATCTGGGAACACTGACCCCTTAATATTAAACCTTTCACCCTTGAGTAGATTGTATCACTTCATTTGTTTTTGTCTCATAATTTCTCTCAGAAATATTGGTGTAAGCTAGGTGCATTGGCGCATGCCTGAAATCCCAGTGTCTTGGGAGGCTGAGGCAGGAGGATTGTGAGTTCCTAGCCAGCCTTATCAACGGCAAGAAGCTAAGCAACTCAGTGAGATCCTGTCTCTAAATGAAATACAATAAAAGGCTGAAGGATGTGGCTCGAGTGGTTGAGTACCCGTAAGCTCAATCCCTGGTATCAAAAAGACAGAAAGAAAGAAAAAAAGAAATACTTGTGTAGTTTTCAATATAGTATTTTTTGTTTTTGTTGTTTGTAATGGGTATTGAACCCAGGGCCTTACACATGCTGGGCAAGAGCTCCTAGGCTGGGATTGCATTCCCAGCCCTTTTGATTTTATTTTCAGGCAAGTTCTTGCTAAGTTGCCCAGGCTGGCCTTGGACTTGATCCAAGAGCCTCAGCCTCCCGAGTTGCTGGAATTACAGGTGTATGCCATCATGCCTGGCTTTTCCCATCTTTTTTTTTTTTTTTAAAGAGAGAGAGAGAGGAGAGAGAGAATTTTTTTTTAATATTTATTTTTCAGTTTTCGGTGGACACAACATCTTTATTTTATGTGGTGCTGAGGATCAAACCCAGCACCACGCGCATGTCAGGCGAGCGCGTTACTGCTTGAGCCACATCCCCAGCCCTTTTTCCATCTTTTGATTGATTGATTATTAATGTTAAATGGCTTTTATGTGGTTATAAATAACTTTTTTCAGGTTTGATTCATTCACCTTATTTTGTATGTATTGGCTATAGCTAAAGACTGGGTCAGTTCTCTGCATAGAGATTCTAGTGTAAGTCTTTACAAAATGGTCAATGAATTCTTGTTAGTGAGAGAGCTGTAGGTCTTGGAGAGGGCATTGAAAGTGACCTTGTCAGAGTTGCCCAAGGTGGTAGTGTAGCCCTTGGCCAAGATGTAGTACTTGCCAGTATCTACCATTAGCAGCAGTTAAGTGGGCACAGGGACTGAGATAGTTCCAGTGGGTTTGGATGTGGGGATAAAGTACACTAGCACAGAGCTTCAGCCTCCTATCTCAAAGAACAGTGTAGGACTTGCCAGGCTTGTCCCTCTCACCCTATGGTCCTGTTACAAGGAACAGTGGAGAGCTTGGCAGGATGATTGCCCTACAGATGGCAGGGGTATCTCTTTGGAACATTAACACATAAACAAGTGTGACTGTTATAGTCCCTGATGGTGATAAATGCCTTGACTTTCTGCCCAGTGGGTGTGCTTTCCCATAGGCATGGAGGACATCCCAGAAAAAAGTCAAGTGATATCAGTTTCCTTGACAGAAAGAAGAGACAGTCTCTTAAGATTAGGGATTTGATCTTATGTCCTTGATCTGAATGATAAATTACTGGTTGTAAGAAGAAAAATGATTTGTAAAAACGTTGTTAATGTTAAGTTATTTTGCAATTGTTGTTTGGCAGTCCCTCTTCAGCCTTTCAGTAGTCTGTCTCAAGTTGCAGGACATTAGTGGTGTGATTTTCAGTAAATTTTTCCTATTGGTCTGACTTGACAGGTTTTGGAGGCGCAGAGAAGGCATCAGAAGGAGAAGTCCGGCATCATACCTACCTCGCCAACACCCTACACTTACAACAAGGTAGGAGGAGATATTTTTCTTCACCCTGTGGATGCAGCCCCTCCCTCTCCTCTGGGAATGTAGCCAGTCTCATTCATACTCTCTCACATTTCAGCCCAAAAGACAAAAAGCAGCCAGAAATGCAGAAAACTATTTGGAATTTAAGTTTTTGGCTAAAGAATATGAAATCAAATTCTTACTCATTTAGGTTTTTGTTGTTTTAACAGGGATCTAAAATGTATATTTATTCAGTAATCCTTTTATTTGGTGAATGTCTTTTTTAAAAGATTTTAAAAATTTGTTCTAATTAGTTATATATCACAGTAGGATGCATTTTGACACATCAAACATAAAGGGAGTATAACTTCTCATTCATCTGGCTGTACATGAAGTAGATTTACACAGGTCATGTAATCATATATGCACATATGGTAATAATGTCTGATTCATTTTACTATCATTCCTACTCCCTCATTTAGCTTTTGCAGCAGGAACCAAGGGCTATAGTCACCTGTCAGGTTATTTATTTGTCTAGCTGTGTAGCCCACTGACCACATTGAAAGGACAAGGTTCCTTGCTTTTTTTGAGATTGGAAATCATTTCTTAGGTACCAGTGCTAGAGAGCATTCTGGTCATTTGTGGTAAACATTCTTTCTTACCTCATAAGAAATACCCAATTAGAACAGTGTCCTGTATACACAACAAGTGTTTGTGCATGTTACTTGGTATTATCACAGTTCCTCATCTATAGCCCACATACCGAACATCTCTATTCTAAGGAACAAGAGCTTTGGGGCCTCTGGAAATGTGTCTTGAAGTTGCTAAGTAGGTCAGGAAAAAAAAAATGATGCTACTTGGGAACTTGAGGTTAGACATAAATGACAGAAAAGGAACTGAGGTTGGCAAGAAGGCTGGAGACCTGCTCTGGTTCTACCACTCTTGAGTGTCATGACTCTAGTTAGGTCATTTAGTTTCATTCTTTTTAAAAAATATTTTTAAATTTTATTTTTAGTTATAGGTAGACAAAATACCTTTATTTTATTTATTTTTATATGGGGCTGAGGATCAAACCCAGTGCCTTATATATGCTAGGCAAGTGCTCTACCACTGAATCACAACCACAATCCTAGTTTCATTCTTAAATCTATAGTATCACTTACCTCATCTGTATATGAGGGATTTGAACTTGGTCATTTTAAAGATTTCATTTCACCTGTGTAGTTAAATAATAATCTACAGCCAGCATCGTGACATTCACAAATACCCACTAGTGTGGTGCCATTCGGGTGAGGGTGTCTGAGCTAACCTTATCTTCCAGGCTTCTCTCTGAGCAGCACATAGCTGTGGTATGAGAGGGAGCGCTGTCTCCAGAGGTAGGGTCCCAGGGTCACCCTGCTCAGGCAGATACCTCTTCTGTCACAATTCAAGAAGCCTCTGCAGATACATTTTTCCAGGCAGGTAAAGTTTCATTTAACTAGAATCGAATCCTTTCGGTATTAATAATAATGCAGTGATTGTAGGCCATGTGGTTACCTTAATACCTAGAAACATGATAGTTGGTGGCAGTTTTCTTTGTTTCTTAATACCTTTCCCCAGTATTGTGTAAGGTCTTAGAAATGGGCTGAGTCTTTTGTGGCCAAAGGAATACTTTTAGACCTCCTGTTCTTTCTTCTAGTGCCCTTCCCTGATCTGTGTGGAACTGTTTTAGCTTTTTTGAAATGGTTTATGCTGTGTTCTGGGGTCAGCCTACATATATCTTAGCTGGTTTTTTTGTTTGTTTGTTTGGGCACCCTCAACCCTGCCCAGGGTGACACAGTACTTGATTCATAGCTAGCTGGTTTATATCTATTACTTCTCTGGCTGGGGGCATAGTATCCTATGTATACTCAAGGATCAAATAGGACCTTAGGCCTTAGCAGAGAGAATAAAAGTGACTATTTGACTCCAGACTGGCCTTGTATGAAGAGAAAGGTTAATTCTCCTAATATGTCCTAAAACTGTTTCAGTCTCTGCTAAATGATCCTTGGAGGTATCAGTCTGTGTATGTCAGGGTTTTTCCTGTTCTTGTCCTGGAGGCCTTATTTTGGGGTCTGTCTCTGCTATGAGTGACCATTTTCTTTCTTGCTTTCAGAGCTGTGACTTATGGTCCTTGGGGGTGATTATCTACGTGATGCTGTGTGGATACCCTCCTTTTTACTCCAAACACCACAGCCGGACTATCCCAAAGGACATGCGGAGAAAGATCATGACAGGCAGTTTTGAGTTCCCAGAAGAAGAGTGGAGCCAGATCTCAGAGATGGCCAAAGACGTTGTGAGAAAGTAAGCCCCTGGGCTGCTGGGAAGGAGGCTAAGGAGGCCTAGAGATGGTGGTGCCCAAGGACATGCTAGGTAGAGAAAAGTCATTTGTCTCCCTGGTAGGGTCCTTCTGTTTTGACACCATAAACGTCTTACCCCTGGCCCTTGGGGGAGAGCTCCCGGCACCCTCACCTCCATGAGACTAGCGCTTTGCTCCCTCCTGTTGTATCCAGGACTGTGAACCCAGGTCCCTCTGTTGTCAGTCTCTCTGGGCACTGACTTGAGGCCCTAAATGGCAGACCTTCTGGTGTGCCCTTCTTCCTGCATGTAGGCCAGTCTCAGGGACCGACTCGATGCCAATAGTTGAACTGGAGTGCTCAGAAGGCGATGACATGTCTGGCTTTCCATTCCTTGGATGCCAGCATGGGGTTGGTTGGAGTCTGTCCTCCAGCCTTCCCACTGCAGTTGGGAAGATTTGGTAAGAATTAGGGGTAATGAGTGGATGGCAAAGAGCTGACACTCAGAGACCTGTGGTAGCAGGAGAATTAAAGGAAACAGACCTAAATTTGAAGTATGTTTGCTGAAAGAGTCGCTGCCTGTGGCGTTGAACACTGTTCTGGTGTTCCCCCTGCACTCAGTCTCTATTGAGCAGTTTCTCCTCTATTGGTCTCAGTTTCTTCCTCTGTGATGGGATGAAGGGAAGTATTAAAGGGTTACTGTCTCCTGACGGTGCAGCCATTCCTCTGTGGAAATTACACCTTTTCAAAAATAAACTTGTGCCAAGTATGGTGGCACATACCTGTTATCCTAGCTACTTGGGAGGCTGGGGCAGGAGGATTGCAAGTTCAAGGCCGGCCTTGGCAGTTTAGCAAGACTTGTCTCAAGAATAATGAAAAATAAAAAGGGATGGAAGTATAGCAGTGGTGACGCACCTCTGGGTTCAATCCCCAATATAGGGGAGGAAAAACGTGAGCTTGCCCTGTTGGTTAGGGAGTCTCTGTGTTATAAAGAGGTACTATCTTCTAAAATATGCAAGTAAAATTTTTTAGGAGGGTAGGGGCAATGTTTGAGTCTCCGTCTATCTTCTTAACATGCCCCACTATGGAGACCCAACTTTTAAACCAAAATCTCAGTGTCCTCTCTGGTTCTTTGCCACTTTTCTATAGACTATAGTTCTGATCCCTGGAACAGCACTGATTATCTTTCTTCTGGCCTTGGATAATGCTTTTTTTTAGAAATTTGAAGCTGTTGAGAATGCTCCAGAAGAAGGTTGCAGAGAATATGAAAGGGCAATTAGGCTTGTTTGTCCAGACTGACATTTAGCAGGATGTGTAGTTGGAAGGAGGTCATGCTACAGAGAGCCCAGGGAGCATGCTGAGGTGAGCTAGGAGTTGTGACAGTGTAGTGGGAAGGAGGTAGAAGAAGTGAGCACATGGTGCTATCACCTTTTCAGAGGCTCGATTTTTAGCTTTTTTGAGGGGGGATAGGGGGGTTACCAGGAATTAAACCCAGAGGTGTTTAACCATTGAGCCATATCCCCAGGTTTTTTTATAGTAGAGACAGGGCCTAAGTTGCTGAGGCTGGCTTTGAACTCACGGTCCTCTTGCCTCAGCCATTTGAGCCACTGGGATTATAGGTATGCCATTGTGCCATTTTTTTTTTTTTAGTTGTTGATGGACCTTTATTTATTTATTTATATGTGGTGCTGAGAATATAATCCAGTGCCTCACACATGCTAGGCAAGCACTCTACCACTAAGGCACAACCTTAGCCCCATGCCTGGCAGTTTTTAGCTTTTGAGTGTCTCATGTCTGTCACATGATGGCATCTAAGAGTTTTATCATGGGTAGCAACCTGCTTTTTCAGAACTACATGACTCCTCAACTAATTTTGTAGCTATTAGCAGCTAAAAGAATACTTTAGGTTTTTTTTCTAAGTTAGAACCCATTGTCCTGGAAACTTCAGTATGGGGATTCAAGGTCTCAGGAAGCCACTGACTTCTAGGACACAGTCCAGAGTATCAATGAATTAAGCTTTTTATACCATTTTTTTTCTCAATTTTTTTTAGTACAGAAAAGACAATTCATGGAACAGTTCCTGGTGTTTGGGGCCTAGAATCCCCCTCCTTTCCTTCAGATAGAAGGCATAGGCCTGCAGGAATGGGTACAAAATCAGAAGAAGCCAGATCTTTTTCGAGACAGACCTCAGACCTAGAAACTTCCTATACTTCCTTTGGGGCCATGTGTAATGACAGCCCTATTGGTGTTTTCTCCACAGGCTCTTGAAGGTCAAACCAGAGGAAAGACTCACCATTGAGGGAGTATTGGACCACCCCTGGCTCAACTCCACCGAGGCCCTGGATAACGTGCTACCTTCTGCTCAACTGATGATGGATAAGGTGTTTTGTTTTGTTTTTAGATATTTATTTTTTAGTTGTAGTTGCACACAATACCTTAATACCTTTATTTTGTTTATTTGTTTTTATGTGGTGCTAAGGATTGAACCCGGGCCTCTCATCTGCTAGGTGAGCACTCTAGCACTGAGCCACAGCCCCAGCCCTGATGCATAAGTTTTTGAATGATGCTTATTTTGTTGGCTGAGGAGGCTGTGTTGAGAAGGAAAGCTTGGGCTTAATCCAGTGAGGAGATAAAGGCAAAACAATGGCAAGCGTGTTTCCAGAAGAACATGTCTGGTTTCCTGAAAATCAGGATGTGAAATAAAGTATTTCTTTCTGTAAAACACCAGTCCAAGGCAGGCCTGGTAAATGTACACTACGGGAATGTTCAAAGGAACGTCCTCCATATCTGCCTGTGGGTTTGGGGGCACACAGCAATATAAGATACCTTTTCTTTTTAAAAAAATATTTTTAGTTGTACATGGACATGATATCTTTATTTTTTATTTTTTAATGTGGTGCTGAGAATCAAACCCAGAGCCTCACACGTGATAGGCAAGTGCTCTACCACTGAGCCACAACCCCAGCCCCATAAGATACCTTTTCCCAAGGGATTTAGACAAGACTGGTTGGAAGGTAAGGCCTGGGCTCATGGAATATGGCACATTCAATATATGAGAACTCTGCCTATTCCATCTTCTGTGAGTGCTGTGGGAATTCAGAAAAAAGAGAACATCTCTAAAGGGGGTGCAGTTTGCCCCATGAGAAGGCGTAAATTACTACCTACTGTATGGCACTTTCTGAGCTGTTTCCCAGCTGCAGGCATGAGATGTCCTTGGAGCTTGAGTAGACAGTGTGTCACATGTAGTGAACAAGATGAACAAAAAGTTAGAGACTAAAGTGTGCCACTGGGAAAAGTGTCTTGGCCTCAGCAGTGAGACATTGGTGAGATGGTGTCACAGGGCTGGGTTCTGCACGAAGACAGAACCAAGGCTTTAGTTCTTGTCAGGTTGTAACTGAGAGGCTTTGTGGATTTTTGGGGGGAGGTCGGTGGGAAGGGTACTGGAGAGTGAACTTGGGGTGCTTTACCTCTGAGCCACATCCTTAGCCCTTTGTAAAAATATTTTTATTTAAAGACAGGGTCTTTTTTTAACTTTTTTTATTCTAATTTATTATATATGACAGCAAAATGCATTATAATTCATATTACACACAGAGCACAATTTTTCATATCTCTGGTTGTATACAAAGTATATTCACACCATTTGTGTCTTTATACATGTACTTAGGGTAATGATGTCCATCTCAATCCAACATCCTTTTTTTTTTTAATTTTTTTTTAGTTGTTAATGGACTTTATTGTCTTTATTTTTATGTGGTGCTGAGAATTGAACCCAGTGCCTCATGCATGCTAGGCGAGCACACTACCACTGAGCCACCACCCCAGCCCCAATCAATCCAACATCTTTTTTTACCCCCCTGCCCCTTCCCTTCCTCTCCCTCCCTTTGTCTAATCTTCCCATGCTCCCTGTCCCAACCCCACTATGAATCAGCCTCCTTAAATCAGAGAAAACATTCAGCATGTGTTTTTTTGGGATTGGCTAACTTCACTTAGCAAGACATGCTAAGTTAATTAGCGCCTTGCCAAGTTGCCGAGGCTGGCTTTGAACTCATAATCCTCCTGCCTTAGCCTCTTGAGACCCTGGGATTACAGGCCTGGCCGTGGTGGTGTTTTTTTTTGTTGTTGTTGTTTGTTTGTTTTATTTTAATATTTATTTTTTAATATTTATCTTTATTTTATGTGGTGCTGAGGATCGAACTCAGGGCCTCACACATGCTAGGTGAGAGCTCTACCGCTGAGCCACAACCCTAGCCCCGTGGTGGGTTTTTGAAAAGAGCTTTGCTACTGGGAATGTATCTACAGAGAGTCAGTCCAATTTGCAGACATGCTAAACTTTGATTTCTGCAGTGATGAAGAAACTGAAGGAGTGGCTCAATGTCTGTGAAGAAAATTTTCTAGTTTTTGCTGACTGAGTAGATAAAAGAGACAGCAGCTAGCTTGGGAGGTCATGCTGTTGACAGAAGGAAATGAGGAAGGAGGCTGATTTTGGTGAGGTGGAGTCTCTTAGACTTTAGATATTATTTTCGGTGACAGAGGGACATTCAAATGAATAAGATGTATAGTGTGGGACAAGAATGTGGCCGAGCGGCTGGCCAAAGCAATGACACAGTCTTAAGAATTATCAGCTTCAAAGGGATGGAGTTGAAGTTTGAAAAAGAATAAGTAAATGGAACTAAAAAATGCTGAGTTTATCTGGAGCATGGGAGAAAATGGAGAGCTGAAAGAGGAAGAGAGTTTTGTGGCATCTCTGATTTATGGGTGGTTATCTTCCAGGCTTAAATACGGCCACTTATGTAGGAATGGTTTGGTTTGTTCAAAGTCCAAAAGAATTGCTTAAATTCTGTTGTCAGCCACATGGAGGTTATAGTTACAGTACAGTGTTCATCAAGATCTTGGAAATGAGGAGAGAAGATTGTCTTCTGGAGTTACTTACAGGTCACTACACACAAGAAGCCAAATCTGGATATACAGAATTTTCTTAATGAGAAAGAGAAGTTGCCAGACCTAGAAGATGACATTGCAGTGTGACAGAGTATTCTCATTCCTAAAGCAGATGTGTGATCACAGTGGGAGTTGGTCAGCTTTAGAGCTGTGGATGTTGAATAGCATCCATCTCCTCCCTATATAGGAGCCTAAGCTCATAGATACCTGGAGCTAGTTCCATCACTTTGGTTGGTCCATTTCTGATGAGGAGGTAGATGATGAGGCAGGAGGCAGTCATGAGTACACGATGCCCTTAAATAAGCTTGAAATGTTCACGATCTTACTGCCTGCTCACCAAGGAGCTACTTTTTAAAGTTGTCCAATTTTTTTTTTCCTTAGAATTCAGATAATACAGCTGGGAGTGGTGTCACACACCTGTAATTGTAGCTACTTGGGACACTAAGGCAGGAAGATCACAAGTTCAAGGCCAGCTGGGCAACTTAGCAAAACCCTGTCTCAAAATAAAATTAGAAATGGCTGGTCATTTACTTCAGTGGTGGAGTGTTTCCCTAACATTCCCAGAACTGGGGAATTAAAAAAGAACACACCATACCCTATAGCTGTTATTTCTCATTATAAACCAACTGATGGGCTTATCCATTGGGATGTGGCCTTAGATGGTGAGGGTCTGCCCTTATGCTTGGCCATGCTCGAAGTTCTGAGCATGCAGGACTGAGGGAGGTGACTACACCATGGGCACAGTGAATACAGGCCAGTGTGTGAGCCTTTGGGCCAGCAGCTGGCCAGCCTTTCTTCTGAGGTTGTCATTACTTCCCTTCACATTTGCTCATATCTATAGCTGCGAACATGATGAGCCTTTGTATTTCTTACTTTTATCTCTGTTTCCACTGCCAGGAAAGAATGACTAGCTGTTGTGTGTCCTTTGTTCAGCCTGCTGTTCCCTGGGCCCTACTGATCTAGAGGAAGAGTCCTGCCTTGTCCAAATTCAGATAGCATCAGCCTAAGAGTACAGTTGCCTTGACATACTGGGCTTCTCCTTCCTGCTTTCTTAGATTGGCTTTTCAGGTGCCCAGCAATGACTGTGAAAAACTGATAACAGTGTTTACATGCAGGCGGTGGTTGCAGGGATCCAGCAGGCTCATGCCGAACAGTTGGCCAACATGAGAATCCAGGATCTGAAAGTCAGCCTCAAACCCCTGCACTCAGTGAACAACCCCATTCTAAGGAAGAGGAAGTTACTTGGGTAACTGAGCTTATTTCATTTGATTATTCTTCCTGGCTGGTGTGTCTGAGTGCTAAGAGATCAGCCAGGGGTCTGCCCTTTCTCTGTTTCTTAGAGGTAAAGAGGATGTTTTTTAAACTGTATCAGTAATTGGACACACTGTATATTGATCTGAAAAATCTGTTAGCTTGTGTTTAATGTCTGTGCAGAGCCTAATGTCTGTGCAGAGCCGGGTTCTGAGGTTTCACCTTGTTTTCACCTCTCCCCCAAACTTTTAAAGCACCAAGCCCAAGGACGGCCTTTATATCCATGGCCATGAGAATGGAGCTGAGGATTCAAATGTTGCCCTGGAAAAGCTTCGAGACGTGATTGCCCAGTGTATTCTCCCCCAGGCTGGTAAAGGTCACACCATTTACTAATGCTCTATGTATGTGTGTGTGCATGTACATGGACACTATGTGTATATGCATGTCAAAAGGATGTGTAATTTGGATTATCTGTTTCATCTTTGTATTACAAGAAAGTGAGCACATTATATAGTCTGTGCCCACTGAAAAGAGTGAACAGTGGAAATTCAGAAATGTGGTTAAGTTCTACCCTTCTTCTCATTTTCCGTGAGATTTTTATTTAGGCTTAATTTTTAGCATCAGGTGTAGAATTTTGTGTTATCTTAGTTTGATAACAAGGGCCCAGAGTAAAGATAATGGAGAATGAAAATATGGATAGGATCAGGATTAGGTGTAGGTTGTGAATACAGAGACCACCACCCTCATTTAGAAGTAGTCCTTGCTGCTACTCGGGTCACAGACAGAGTGACTTGCACATGACCTCCTGCATGTAAGAGCTTGCTTTCTGTATGTTCTTCTTTCCCTCAAGGTAGTGTGATATGAAAGGTATTCTCAGTTGATGAGTGAGATTCTTTACCTGTTAGGCCAGAAAATGTTGAGGTGACCTATTTTCCTTGATTTCATGGCTTTTAAGAGAACTTGTGACATGTGCCTCAGCCTTCCAAAGCAAGGAATGGACCTAAGAGAAAGAAGGCAGCCCACCCAGTCTTGTTTTCCCTTAGGTTGACCAGGTTTATTTGCTTAGTGACAGGGTTTGTCACAGTCTATTTCTCATCCACAATACTAAGAACTCTAAAGCTATCAGAGCATTTGTGTGAGGATGTCAAAGTAGAAGAGTTCAGTGACCAGAAGTAGTTGACATTTGATGTTGGAACTAGCAGTAAAGTCTTTCTTTCTCTGCTGGTTTTGCACATGTAGTCATCATTTCTCAACCAGTTGGATATTATGTTATCCCACCTCTGACACTAAAATTCCATGATGGTGCAGGAAAAAATGCAACTTCCTCTTCATCCTTACCTACAGGAGAGAATGAAGATGAGAAGCTGAACGAAGTAATGCAGGAGGCCTGGAAGTATAATCGGGAATGCAAACTCCTGAGGGATACTCTGCAGAGCTTCAGCTGGAATGGTAGGGACCACAGCCACTCCTTTGCTTGGGAATATATAGAAGTGATTATGTTTAGAACATGTTGGGTGATTTGGGCCTGAGCTGGATCTATTTTCTGTGAAGTGAAGTTGGACACTGAGTGGAATTTTGAGGGAGGGGTGTCAGCTGTACAGTTAAGTACTCAGGCATAACTGGTCCTTTGATTCCTATCATATACCACTGGGGAAAAGAGCGGGGCTGGGGGGAAACCACCCAAAAAACAAACAAACAAAAAAATTGGTTCTCAGAATTCCTCCCACATCACCAGATCACAAAGGAGCAGCACTCATTGAAAGAGGAAAAGAGGACAGAGGACCAGCAAGTTCACCCTGCTTAGTTTAGAGAAGAGCCATTTCACTGAAGAGTAGGACTTTGCCAAATCTGCTGCTGGTTGATTTTTTTTTTTCCCCAGGCAAACTAGGTAGAGAGGGTCATTCATTTTTTTTTTTTTAATGTTCTTCCTTAATAAGCATTTTTTGAAAAATTTTTATATTGTCATTTGGGTTTAGCAGACTATGGATAAGTTCTAGAATTCTCAGGGAAGAGAGCAAATTCTTTCACTTCATTGCTGGCTTGTTTCTTGAACTTGCCATAGGAAATCTAAAGTGCTGGCCTGGCCATTCCCATACCGGGAAGAGCTGAGCTTCCCTAGGATTTTTATTTTTATTTGAACTACATCATCAGTATAGAGAAGTAATCACATGTGAAGTACGCACTTCCATTGAATCGTCACAGAGTAAACACTCCTCCAGCCAGGTCGTCGTGGAACATGTGCTGTCTTCCAGTCACTCCCTCTCTAGGGTAGTCACAGTCCTGATTTCTAGCACCTCAGAATAATTTTGCCTAGTTTTGTGTAAATCAGAATCAGGCAAGTCTTGTTCTTTTTCAAGTGGACTTCTTTTAATCAATATTATGGGTCCCATGCCCATTGTGTATAGCAACAGATGATCTCGTTACTCATTACATGTTTATCCTGTATTTGTCCATTCTGCTGTTAATGGATATTTGGATGATTACTAGGTTTTGGTAATTAAGGAAAGGGCATTGCGAACTGATTTCTCTTAAATGTTTAGGATTGGAGTTGCTAGTTCACGAAGATATTCATCTGGTTTTTTTGGGGTAGACATGCCACCAGTTTTCTGAATTGGTTATTTGAATTTATGACCTCCCACTGTAGTGTTCAGTTCTAGTTATTCTTTTTTTTGTGTGGTACTGGGGACTGAACCCATGGCCTAGTGCGGGCAAGGCGAGCACTCAACCAACAGAGATATATATCCCCAGCCCTAGTTCTAGTTATTCTATATTCATACCAACTCTTGCTATTATCTCTTTTATGTTAGACATTCTGGTTAGTGTATAATGGCATTGCAGTGTGATTTTACTTGGCATTACCCTGATGATAGATGAAATTATGCACTTTTTAAATGCTTATTGGCCATTTATATTTCTTATTTTTTGAAGTATGCCTATTCAAGTCCTTTGTCCACTTTTCTACCAAGTTGTAGCTTTTTATATATGTGTTGGAATTCTTCATAAATTTCCGGATGTTAGTCTATTGTCAGACATGCATATGTTATAGAGATCTCTCATTGTGGTTTGTGAACTCTGCATTTTTATTGCCATTTAATAGAACTGCTTAGTGAACACCTGAAAATGGGAGATTTGAACTGCATTTCATTAGCGTTGGGGTAGTTCCTCCATTGGCAGGGTGAACTTGGCACCGTAAGGTCCACCTATTGGGTTCCTCTCAGAGTGAGAACTGACCTTATTCTTTCTTGGATTTCAGGTCGTGGATTCACAGATAAAGTAGATCGACTAAAACTGGCAGAAATTGTGAAGCAAGTGATAGAAGAGCAAACCACTTCCCATGAATCCCAATAATGACGGCTTCAAACTTTTTTTTTTTTTTTTTTTAGCAATTTGAAAAATTATTCTTTAATGTATAAAGTAATTTTTATGTAAATCAATAAATCATCATTTCATTTCCACATTGCTTAACATTGCTATATAGATTTATGTACGGGATTTACTAATAGTATAGTTATTGTTTTAGAAAAGCTCAGTTTCTAGAGGCATACTATTATTTTAGGACATATGGTCTTATATTTATAAGATGATAGGTGGAATTGTATCTGTCAGTCAAGCAAGATTATCTTCTTTCTAATAAAGTAAAAGAAACCACATGCCAGGGTTAGATAAAGAAAGGACCAACTATACTGACCTTTCTGTGCCATCAGTAGATTAGCTCACAATCAATCACTGCAGACTGCCTGGTGGAGGTCACAGAACGCACACTTGGGTGCCTCTGCCATGGAAGAGGAAGGAACTACTGTGCTTTCATTTCTCTTGCTCCTAATTCCCCAGAGAAAAGTGGCACCGTTCCTTTTTGTCATGTTTGTTTAAAGGGTATTGGTGTGTTTCTTAAATCTAATGGAATTCACTTTGGGGTTTATTCTTTACATGTGTAACCAGAGCTTCCCTTTACCCTTCCCTGAGATCCCATTTGGTCCTCTCTGCCCCCGCATCCTCCACTTACTCCGTCACTTGTTAATTCCTTTCCCTATTCTGGCCCCAATTTTGGGATGATTTTCCTGAGAAAATTGTATATAATATAAACTGGACTTTTTAACATTAGCTTTTAAAGTGATCCACTTTTTCCTCTGAAAGCTGCCCATTTTTCTCTAATGTTTCTGCCTGGATTTCTTGATGGCATCCTGTGGGCTGTATTTATTTTCTTCAGTACCCTTCATTTTCAGGAAGCATAATTCTGGCTCAGATAGCAGTTGTTTAATGAAAAATAAAAATAGATGTGCACCTAGTTTTCTTTTGTGCACATGGACACAAACTTTTTTTTTTAAACATTTTTTGGTGGGTATCTGTGTCAATAAATAGAAAAGCTTATAGACAAATTCTAGCTCACAGGACAGGGTAAGAGGATGAGTAGTCTCAACTATTCAGGTTTTTTTTTTTTTTTTTTTTTTAATGTTTACTTTTTAGTTGTAGTTGGACACAATACCTTTATTTCACTTATTTATTTTTATGTGGTGCTGAGGACCGAACCCAGGGTCTCACACGTGCGAGGCAAGCGCTCTACCGCTGAGCCACAACCCTGGTCCTTAGCTATTCTGTTTTATCCTGTCAGCTATTCTCTGTAATCAAAATCAATCCCACAAAGCTCACTTATTTTTTTTTTAATATTTTCAGTTGTAGATAGATATCTTTATTTTTTTATAGGGTGCTGAGAATTGAACCCAGTGCCTCACAAGTGCTGCTAGGCAAGCACTGTACCACTGAGCCACAACCCCAGCCTGCTCACTTATTTTCTGACTCTTATATTTTGCTGAGTATGCCTTCAGGATGACATCTGGTCATTGTGTCACTTAAGAGTGCAACTGATTTGGGGAATGTATGATAAAAACACCCAAGTATATTTTTTTTTAATATTTATTTTTTAGTTATAGTTGGACACAATACCTTAATTTTATTTTTATGTGGTGCTGAGGATGGAACCCAGGGCCTCGCATCTGCTAGGCGCGTGCTCTACCACTGAGCCACAACCCCAGCCCACCAAAGAATCTTTTAAGAATTTCTTTATTACACTGATTGAATTTTATCTTAAAGAATATGTAATTCAAGGTATTTTTTAAGGTTAAGTAAAACCTTGCAAAAAGAACTGGATACTTTTCAAGATAGCAAAATCGATCAGTTAAGCAGCAGAGAAAACCAAAATGTTTATTTACTACCAGAAAATTTAGCTGAGAGTTGAATTAAGGGCCTATTTAGTTTTTCAGCGAAATGCAATCATTTCTTGAAGTGAGGGAAAATGCACTTATTTCTGAGATATCTGAACCCCTCTAGTGTTCCTACCTGAGGGCAGGCAGGAGTTCAGTATTCCATGGGGAGAGGAAGACAGTAATATACCTTTGTTGCTCTTTCTTTAAAAGAGCCTTCTAGCATTAACTTCTCAAATTTTATTATTTGGGTATCTTCTAAAGACTCAGGCTGATTTTTTTCTTTTTCCTTAGAGTGTGGTCAACTTTACGCCTTGATGTAAAATGGCATCCAAAATGATACTTCTTTTTAGTCTAAGCTTCAGTTTCTTGTGTTTTAGTCACTTCAGATTGAATTCATGAGAGCTGCCTGACTCCAGACATGTCCCAGATGAGCACCATGCTGGAAGTCTATAAAACCCTGGCGGATGCTCTAGCTGTTGTAACACAAAAGAGGGCCCTACCCTGATTGGAGCCCCTTGAAAAAGCAGTAGGCTCCCCAGAGACTCAATACTGTTTGGTCTTCAAAGTGTTTTGTTTGTGTATTCCTAAGCCAGTAGTAAATTGTGTTTTAACATACAAATCAGGTTTCCTGGTGATACAAAATCCACACATAACTGAAAGTGAAATCATATATCTTCCTTGTATTTCACAGACTAACACCCACCTGTGGACACTTAACATTGTAGGAACAGTTCTTGTAAAGCTGCAGTTTACAATCTAGAGTTTCCCCCACATGACTTGCTGACCCTCTGCTGATTAAGACCATTACTCAATTACCTTTAGACTTGAGGTAGAACGACATCCTTATGTTTTTCTGGCTAATGTATTGTATGATCATAGGAGAATGCCTGTGAGAAATTTATCTTTTTGAAACATGGAATTCTTATTAAAAGAGCTTATATTGTATCTGGGTGAGAAAAACAAGTTGAAAGAATAGCAGGTATTGTTGGTCAAAGAAAGTTGAAAGATTTAAATCAGATCTTGTCTATCAGTTTGTGTGTACATGTGTATTTACTGAGAGCTGGGAAAACTGGATATTTCATTTTAGTTATATATTTTTTAAATTTAAAAGGTACATTGTTCTTCCATGATTGACTCTTGATTCTTTTATTCCATCAAATGACAAAATAGGTAGGAAATTATCCCTACCTATTTTGGTTATAACACAAGAGAAGTACCCTAAAATCTTAAGTATTATTTCCAAACTCTATAATTTGAAGTGGACTTGCTCTTACATAAACTATAAGAAGAAAAGAAATCATTTCACTTTTATTGCTATAAATTTTCTAATGAATTTATGATGTGACAGTATGAATTTTCTTGCTATATGCTAATGAAATATTTTATCAACTGTTAGAAATTAAGTTTTTTGTTTTTTGGTTTTGGATACTAGGGATTGTATACTCAGGGGCACTTGACCACTGATTCACATCCCCAGGCCTATTTTTGTATTTTATTTAGAGACAGGGTCTCACTGAGTTGTTTAGCACTTTGATTTTTGCTGAAGCGGACTTTGAACTTGCAGGCTTCTTGTCTCAGTCTTCTGAGCCATGGGGACCTACAGGCGTGTGCCACCATGCCCAGTGAAATTAAGTATTATTAATTGGAGATAGATAATGAGTTCATATACTCTCATGGTGATATCTGATACCTTTTGGTACCATTATGATTCTATTCTGAAGTAGAGCATTTCCCCATTGCCAAGTGTTACCCATAGTCACACCTTGTATTTTACAGGTTTTATGCTATAAATATTTGACTTAATATAAAATTATTTTTATGCAAGATAAAAAACATCTTAGTTAATCTTAGAATGCACAGAGAATGAATAACTGGGCCAAAAATAAGTAAACAGAGCTTCTCTTTCCTTTTAAATTTTTACTGCTAAAATCACCAACGAAAAAATTCACATCAAAACCAAATCCAAGGGCTGGGGTCCTGGCTTAGTGGTAGAGTGCTTGCCTAGCATGTGTGAGGCACTGGGTTCGATTCTGGCACCACAGATAAATAAAGGTCCATCAACAACTAAAAAAATCTTTAAACACAAAACAAAACAAAAAAAAACAACCCAAGGACTTTCACAGACACTGTACAGTTCAATTTAAGTTATAAAGTGAAGAACTTTTTAGAAATCTTAACCTATTTTACTTATTTCTTTTGGTACCAGGGTTGAACCCAGGGGCATTCAACCACTGAGCCATATCCCCAGCCCTTTTTTATAATTTATTTAGAGACAGGGTCTTGCTGAGTTGCTTAGGGCCTCACTAAATTACTGATGCTGGCTATGAACTTGTAATCCTCCTGCCTCAGCCTCCCGAGCCACTGGGATTATAGGCATGTGCCACTGTACCCACTTATTTTATTTTCTTGATCAGGGTAACTAGATACATGATTAAACAGTTTTATTTTGCCACACATTTTTATATTGGATCGGTAGAGAAAAACTGAATTTTTAAAAATGTACATATATATTTTTTAGTTGTCGATGTACTTTTATTGTTTTTATTTCTATGTGGTGCTGAGAATTGAACCTAGTGCCTCACACATGCTAGGCAAGTGCTCTACCACTGAGCTACAGCCTCAGACCCTAAACTTTTTTTTTTTTTTTTTGCAGCTCTAGGGATTCAACGCAGGCCCTGGTCCAGGCCAGGCCAGGTAAGCACTATCAATGAGCCACACACCCAGCCCAGTAATTGAACTTTGATACTGGTCCCTTAGATACTTCAATGGTGAAACTAAGATCACTTAACCCTTGTGTCTGTGCCTTAGGAAAACTCTGGGTAGAGAACAATTATTTATAAGCAAATATAAAATGTCTAAACTCATTTATTATGAACGAAGGATAATGAGGGAAAACTTGTGACTTTTTTTCTTGAATTAAAGGAAAAATGAGTCACAGGCAAAGGACTGAATTGAGAAAGAGTACCCTCAATAATACATAAACGAGGAAAAGACATAGTAGGCAGGAGAGAACTCTGTCCTGCTCAGAGATCCCTAGGAAATCCCCGTCCCCTCCCCCGGTCTCCTGCCAGAATGTTGGGTTTCAAAGAATGAACAGATTAACGGATATCAGTACTAATGTGGTCTCAGGAAAAGGAAGGTAATTGGCCTGATTTATAGTACTGGCCAAATCTTACAGGCCTGTATGGCTCATCTCTCCGCGAATGTTAAAGAAACTTAGTCAAGGAACATAACAGCTGTTTCTGTTGAAAGGATTTCCTGTGCTATGGAAACCACCCAAGACCAGGAGGGAAGCAAGAATAAAGAGATACACCCTGAAGGCAATAAGATTCAGAGTTGGATGGAAACCAACCAAAAGGAAGCCAGCACAGATGTGGGGATGATATGTAAGTCTCTGAGAGTCATATCAGGGAGAGCTGCCACAGAGAGACACAGACCCTATATCATCATTTGGGTCATGTCAGTGGCAGCATCACTGAGAAACTCTGCCTCCATCTTATCATCTCTACAGAAAAATCCAGTGACCTTCACAGAAGCGAAGATAAATTTGCTGACTTGGATTCCCCAGAAGTGGAACTTGAGGCTGGGTCCAGTGCCAGGACATTCATATATCAGGTTAGGGATCTTGATGCTGTTGGTCATTTTTTTGCCAAGCATGTACTGTTACCTGGGATCAGTATCTTATTCTTTCTATGAAATAGTCATCCCCAAGAGTCTGACAGTGGAGGGGCATGAAGACCCAGTGGGAAAGGCATCGTACATGCTGTTTATGCAGGGCCAAAAGCAAGTGATTCGCCTCAAAGTGAAAAGAAACTATTCTGTAAGTAACTTCCCCATCTACAGTTACCACAATGGCATCCTGGGGCAAGAAACGCCTTCCATCTCACAGGACTGCCACTATGAGGGCTACATAGAAGGAGTGCCAGGGTCTTTTGTTTCTGTCAACACCTGTTTGGGCCTCAGGGGCATCCTGATTAAGGAGGACACATCCTACGGCATCAAGCCCATGCTCTCTTCCAAACAGTTTGAGCATGTGTTATACACCATGGCACATCAAGCTCGAGTCTCCTGTGGTGTCACTTCCCAAGACAGACCAGTGTCCACCAGCCAGCAACAAGGGAGCAGGAATCCTCTTCAACTACAGGCACTGTCCTACTTGTGGTCACGCACCAAGTACGTGGAGATGTTTGTCATTGTCAACAACCAGCGGTTCCAGATGTGGGGCAGTAACATCAATGAGACAGTCCAGAGAGTAGTGGACATCATTGCTCTGGCCAATGTCTTCACCAGGGGAATAAACACAGAGGTGGTGCTGGCTGGAATGGAGATCTGGACTGAGGGGGACCTCATAGAGGTCCCAGTGGACCTGCAAGTTACACTCAGGAATTTCAACAGCTGGAGACAAGAGAAGCTCTCGCACCGTGTGAGGCATGATGTTGCCCACATGATCGTTGGGCATCATCCTGGAGAGACCATGGGCCAGGCATTTCTCAATGGTGCCTGTTCAGGTAGTTTTGCGGCGGCCGTTGAATCCTTCCATCACGAAGACATCCTCCTGTTTGCAGCGCTCATGGTCCACGAGCTCGGGCACAACCTGGGTATTCAGCACGACCATGCGGCCTGCATTTGTAAAGATAAGCACTTTTGCCTCATGCATGAAAACATCACCAGAGAAAGTGGCTTCAGCAACTGTAGCTCTGACGACTTCTACCATTTCCTTCATGAACACAAAGGGGCCTGCCTCTTTAACAAGCCACGGCACAGAAGCCGCAAGAGGGAGGCTGCTAGTTGTGGTAATGGTGTGATTGAAGAGGCGGAGCAGTGTGACTGTGGTGACAAATGTGACACTCACCCATGCTGTGACACACTTTGTAAACTGAAGGAGGGGGCTCAGTGTAGTAATGGACTCTGCTGCCATAGATGTCTTCTCAAAGGGAAGGGCACTTTATGTCGTCATTCTCGAGATGAGTGTGACCTCCCTGAATATTGTGATGGTCAATCTGAAAAATGTCCTGTGGACAGCTACAAACAAGATGGCTCATTGTGTGACAGAATTTACTATTGTACCAGGGGGCAGTGTAGAAACCCTGATAATCAGTGCCTGAGTATATATGGTCACCCTGCACGATCTGCCCCAGAAGAATGTTATATTTCAATGAACAGGCACCCAAGTCAGTTTGCAAACTGTGGCCATCGTACTGCAACGACCTCAGCATACGTTAGGTGTACAGATGAAAATATATTTTGTGGAAAAATTATATGTACAGGTGTTGCAACCATGCCAAGAATCCGACCCAAACATACACTGATCCAGGTTGCTCATGGTAATGACTGGTGCTGGGCCATGGATGCCTATAACCTTACTGACATCCTTGACGATGGTGATGTGCACCATGGCACTTACTGTGCTCCAAACAAAGTTTGCAGTGCTCACTCCTGTATTGATCAAGCTGTGCTCCATTATGACTGTGAACCAGAGAAACAATGTTATGGAAAAGGAGTGTGTAACAATTTCAGGCACTGTCATTGTGAAGATGGCTTTGCACCTCCTGACTGTCGGCGTCCAGGGACTGGGGGTAGTATGGACAGTGGCCCTCCTGGTAAGCCAAAGTACCTAAAACAACGCAAAGATAATTATAAAGAAACCCGTAAAACTGAGGATGATGAAGCACGCCTTAAAATGTTGATGATCGCTATCCCTGTAGGTCTCGTCACATTATTGTGTACTCTAATGCTACTTGCTTACCTCTGGTCTGAAATACGGTCAATGCTGTCACGGGATTCAGAGTCATCTACAGCCCCAGCAAAGGAGGCCCCAGCACCCAAAGGGGCCCCACCGCCCAAAGGGGCCCCACCTCCCAAAGGGGCCCCTCCTCCACCTGCCCCCGGGGAGGCCCCACCACCTGTACCAGAGGCGGTACCACCAGAGTAGGCCCCACCACCAGTAGCCCCAGAAAAGCCTGCACCAAAAGAGGAAGGAGGTGAACTACATGAAAAAGAAAAGGCAGAAAAAAAGAAAAGGCAGAAATTTACTGGAGGATGAAGCCAAATATGTTAAACCACCCCAGGCATGGAAAGTGAAGTGAGAATTACCTGCACCACTGGCTCTGACGGGACTGTATTATACTAATGTGGGAGAAGGGATTTCTCCACTTTCAATATTCATTTTAGTAAATTTATTGTATTTTCATATATGAAATCACATGAGATAATCTGTTTTTTTTTTCTTTTTACACGTTACCTGAAGCGGTTTTATTTAAGCTATTTTCATGGATCATTGCTATCAATGTCTTTTACCAATAGGGCTGATTTTGAGACAACTGAAATGGTTCTTCAGGGTATGCCATCTTCCATCTGCATTGGTTGACAATGTATTATCTGAACCTACATTGCTATCTCTGGGTTATTTATTACAGTCATAACCACTGTTATGTAAGGAATATTATATTTGTGATTAGAAAATTCGAATTTGCCCTGTCAGATTCTGTTCATGAAATAATAGAGGTGATTTTAAATGAATAAAAGGCTTTTTTTTTTTCCCAGATGAAGCAGCACTCTAGACTCCAGGTAGCTTAGAATTTGGGGTCCTTTGTATTGGGGCTCCCTGGAATGGCAAGGTCTGACCCATGGAGGTCTAACTCAGCCAGGCCAAGTGTTTGGAGAAGGGAAGGCAACTTACTCAGGAAGCCCCTTCAGTGTTGAGTTCACATTTCAAATATTTAATTTTTCATTTGATTTCTTAGTTTTTCTTTTAAATTTGATATTTTGTATACAGATAAATACTGATAAGAACATCTTTATATATAAGAGAGCTTTTATGTGATTACTTCTCTGAAAAATAAGCACAGAGCAAGTATAATATTATAATATTACTGTTTCTTCGCCAAGCACTCTGTTAACACTGCATTTACTTCTTAATCTTCCTAACTGCCCTGTGAAAACACCATCTTGTACATAAGGAAAAACATAAGAGCTTGCTGTGGCACAAGCTAGTAAGTGGTAGTACCTGCATCCCCCTCCCCCAGATAAGACCCAAACTACAATCTCTGCAGAACTGTGAGCCTTTTATTCATCAAAAAGTGAGGGGAAGACATTTAATACATCCTTAATTACCCAGCTTATGGGACTCCTGAAAACCACCTTACCAATGGATATTGACTTCTATCAAGAACTCACTATATTGTGTAGGCATTATGGATTAGAATGTCTTTAAAGTGGGCAATTAACTGTAGAAGCAGAGAACCCTAAACAACTCTCATGATTTGCCAAGCAGGTGGCAGTGGGAGCTTGTAGGAGGAGGCTGAAGTGGTGGTGTTGAGAAGAGCCTGGAATCCCAGGAGCCTGTGAGGTGGAGCTTTAGAGATTTGCTGATGGAGCAGATGTAGAGAATGAGAGAAAGGCATCAGAGAAGGCTGACACTGGTGGCTTTGCCCCAAACAACTGAAACAATGTAGGTGGCATTACTAAGATGGGGATGAGTGTGGAAAGCATAGGTACTAAACATGTTTAGAATGAGATGCCTGCCTAACACCAAGTGGGCATGTCTCCTAGGCAGTGAGATGACTGGGCTCCCTGGAAATCAGGAGAACCATCAGCCAGGATGAGTATCTGAGAGCTGACCATACCCAATATTTCAAGGCATGGGGATGGCTGACACTGCCCAAGGGAGCAAGTATAGCTAGAGAAGGGATCTGAGAACTAGAAAGTTTCAAGATGGCAAAATCGAGGAGATTGCTTTCCTGGACTCTTCATGGAGTGAAACCAAGAAAGCAGATAAACAGCTAAGGAAGGTGGGCGAACCAAAAAAAAAAAAAAAAAGGGCGGGGGGAGAGTGCTTTGGTGGCTTTATTGGAATTTAAAATTGGACATTTAAAACAGATTGGGGGCGGGGCGAGGATATGGCTCAAGCGGTAGCGCGCTCAGCTGGTATGTGTGCGGCTCAGGTTCGATCCTCAGCACCACATACAAACAAAGATGTTGTGTCCGCCGAAAGACTGAAAAATAAATATTAAAAAAAAATTCTCTCTCTCTTGCTCTCTCTCTCTCTCTCTTAAAAAAAAAAAAAAAAAACAGATCGGGGGCTTGGGAAGTTGTATATGATAAAATAAGGAAGAAATCCCCAGTGGCAGAGCCACTACAGTGGCCAGACCAGAAGCACTAGCCAGAGCAGTCCCTCTGCAAGTCAAGTGGAGGGACAAGGGAATTAAAGGAACCCACATTTTTAGGAGACCTGAGGCCTGTCTGGGTACAGAGTGTTTAGAGATCAAGGCCATTGCCTGACTTAATTGAAAGGCACTGCACAATATCCTTGTGTGGGGAAAAAAGCAGTGTGGCAGTCTGTGGAGGATAAAAGGAGGAACGATTTTCAGCTGTGGCATGGGGGCTGGCAGCTGAGGGAGCCACATTCTGGCAAACCCAAGTTTGGCCTAAAATATAGACCCAGTAAAAAAACACCGCATGCCATAGAGTGTGCTTGAGTGACCAGAAGAAAATCAAACTTGGAGAGAGGTTTACACAGGGGACAACTGGTTGTGGAAACCCACCTGGCTCTACTGCTCCCTCTCCTAACTGGCTGCTTGCAGGATCAGCTGGGAGAGATGCATCTGGCCATGCCTTTGGAAGGGCGGAGGTGGGAGAGACTATTTGGAGACTGAACCCAAAACCAGGAAACATGGGGTCTGCAGGTGACTTAGGGGACGAACAATTGGCTCCTCTATCACATGAGTAGAACCCAGGGGAGATACCTGGGGCCAGTCTTCCAGTATGGATCAGCAATTACTGGACCCTAGAGGTACAATGATTTTAAATCTCCAGATCAAATGGCATTCAGTGAAGACCCTATGAAGCAGACAAGACACCCTCCACCCAGAAGACCCTTACCATAATTAAGCAGACTCACCATTTTTATGACATGTAAGTTCCTCTTCTTGTCAGAAAGCTTTATAACAGAACATCAGCACAAATTTGTGTAAAAAACTCAATGTTGGATAGGATTTTCGATTTTTTGTGAGGACTAAATTGCTGTCTTGCAAAAGCTAAGTTTGGCTGCAAACTTGATGATGTTTTTGCTTTTATGATAAAACTTGTAAAATCACTAACTTAAAAAAATGTGACAAAAAAACACTTGTCATATAAACCTTCAACAAATTTCCGGACTTGAGGCCCAGAGAAATTTTAGGGACAGCCTCTTTGGACACTGCAGCTAATAAACTTCCTGAAAGTTCCTCAGGTGTCCAGCCTCTTCTGTCCCACCTGGAGCCATTCTAAGCCTAACGCTGCCTCCAGGAATTCCACCTATAGGATTTCCTCTTTCACCCCAGCAATCCGGAGGGTGGGGTATCACACTTCAGACGACCTTACCTAAAACTGCTGAGAAGAGAAGCTGAGACTCTTGAACTCCAACGGAAAGAAACTTTTAACTTTCACTGAGATATTTTTCCCCTTTTCCTTTACTCTGTTTAATTGGGACCTTAATGGTACATGGACATTTATACATACTCATTTTTTTCTCATTTCTACCATTTTTAAAGCCAGTTATTTTTTTTCTAGCATTTTTGAAGCCACGGGTCAGTTTTTTGAGTAGGATGTTTGATTAGTATATTTTAGTTTTGTTTTCTATTCCTTTTTAAATTTTTATTTATGTATGTATTTTTTTCTTACCCATGTTTCCCTTGTTTCTCTTTCTCTCTTTTCTTCCACTAAAAATCAGTCTTCGTTGTTCTCTCTTTCACCCTCCCTTTAATTTTTTACTTCTATCTTTTCTCCTCCTCCTCCCTTATAATCATCACATCCTATATCACTTCAGTTCTCTTCCTGTCCACCATTTGAAATTGTAAACCCTTTTGCAAACTTGCTGTTTTTATTGTAGGCAATAACTGATCACATCATTTCTGTTTACTGTGATAATTAACATTGTAGATGTCATAGTAGGAATCATTTGGTTTAATGCTGTATATTGTTTGCATTGGTTGTTATTATTTGTCTCCCCCCTAAACAGTGAGGTACTGGAAACCTTCAGGGACACTACAGGTCCATAGGGTAGAAACTCTACTACCTCAGATTCATACTGCTAGAAGTGTAAACATACAAATAACATGAAAAAGCAGGGGAACAAATTGCCCCAAAGGACAAACCAAGATACTTCAATAAGAGACTCTAACGACACCATTGTGGAAGAAATATCAGAGAAGAAATTTAGAATGTACATAGTCAAACTGATCTGTGAAGTAAAGAACGAGGTAAAGAGTGAAATCATAAAGAAAATACAGGAAGTGAAAGATCACTTCAAGGGCTGGAGTTGTAGTTCAGTGGTAGAGTGTCTAGCATGTGTGAGGCACTGGGTTCAATTCTTAGCATCACATATAAATAAATAAAAAGATTCATCAACAACTTAAAAAGGTGAATTGTTAATGGCATTTTAAAAAAAGATCACTTCAACAAAGAGAGCGTCGGGAAAAAAAATCAAGCAGAAATACTCAAAATGAAGGAATCAATAAGCCAAATTAAAGAATTCAATGGAAAGCATCACCAAGATCACTTGGAATACAGAGTTTCAGGCAATGGAAACAAAATATATAATCTTGAAAAAAGTTGATTCTGGAGAAAAGATATTAAGAGACTACGAATAGAATTTCCAAGAAATATGGGATAACATGGAAAGACCAAATTAAGATTTATTGGGATAGATGAAGGCTTATAGATAGAAACCAAAGGATTGCACAATCTTTTCAACAAAATAATATCAGAAAATATCCCAAACCTACAGAATAAAATGGAAAATCAAATACAAGAGGCTTTACAGGAGCCCGAATATATAAAATTACAACAGACCTACACTAAGGCACATTCTTATGAAAATGCCTAACATACAGAATAAGGATAGAATTTTAAAGGCTGCCAAAGAAAAACACCAAGTAATATCAATCTGGATCCAGACTAATCTGGATCTCAGCTGATTTCTCAACCCCAACCCTCAGAGCTAAAAGTTCTTGGAATAATATATACCAAGCTCTGAAAGAAAATGAATGCCAGCCATGAATACTATATCCAGCACAATTAAGCTTCAGAATTGATGGTGATGAATAAAAACCTTCCATGATAAACAAAAGTTAAAATAATTCACAACTAGAAAACCTACACTACAAAACATTCTCAATAAAATATTTCATGAAGAAATGAGAAATAAAAGTAAAAATGGACTTCAAGCCATAGTTAATCAGAAGTGACAGAAGGAAATTTCATACTGCTTCAGGGAACTATACATCAACAAGACATAACAATTCTAAGTATTTATGCCCCACATAATGGAGCATCTCTATACATCAAATAAATCCTTCTCAATTTCAAGAAACAAATAGACCACCACGCAATAATACTGAGTAACTTTAACATGCCTCTGTCAACATTGAATAGATCCTCCAAACAAAAACTAAATAAAGAAGCTATTGTACTAAAAAATGCAATTGATAATTCAGACTTTACAGACATTTACAGAATATTTCATCTATCAATGACTGAATACACTTTCTTCTCATAAGCACACAGATCCTTCTATGATACAATGTTAGTAAGCTATCACATATGTTGGCATACAATTGTAATATTACCTTAATATATTTTTAGCATCTGTAGGGTTATTTTGATAGCTCCCTTCCATTAACATTAATTTTGGTATTCTTGCTTCTTTTCTTGATTAGACTTGATTTTATCAACTTTTAACTGTATTATTTCTTCTCTATTTCATATATTTCTGCTCCTACTCTTATTTTTTCCTTCCTATTACCTAATTTGAAAATAATTTGATTGTTGATCTAGCTTCTTTCTTGATACAAGTACTTCAAGTTATAAATGTTCATCTGAGACTTTTTCATCCCAGAGATTCTGATATTTTAAGCTTTTATTATTACATAGTTCAAAGCACTTTTTATTTACTTTTCTTGTAGTTTCTTCCTTCACCTGTGAAATATTTATAAGTGTGCCATTTAATTTTGAAGTAGTTGACATGTGGAGGTGGGGCTTTATATATCTTAAGGTGATTGATTTCTAATGTAATAAAATATGCAAGAAATACAGTCTGCATAATTTCAAATTATAAAAAAGTAATGGAAATGCAGGGCTGGATTGTAGTTCAGTGGCAAAGTGCTTGTCTTGCACATGAGAGGCACTGAGTTCAATCCTCAGCACCACGTAAATATAAATAAATTAATTAATTAATAAAGTTATAAAAACACCACTTCTATATGTTTACAAAGTAATGAAAATGGTTTTTGTGTTGACTGTATTGATTACACATGTCAAAACATGTCAAAACTGATCAAACTGAATGCTTCAAATATGTGCATTTAACTGTACTTTAATTTTACTTCAATAAAGCTATTAAAAAAAACTTAGGCCCTGGGACATTCCATGTGTTTATATTGCCAAGATGAGGAAGATTCAGAGGAGAGGTCAGAGAAGAAGGGTTTGATGTGGTAGGAATACCACCAAGGGAGAGCTCTGTCCTGAAAATCAAGAGAAGAAAGTGTTTCTAGAAGAGTCTTACACTACCAATCTAATATACCTGGAAGTCCTCATGGCAGGATCTTCAGCACACAGAATGTGGCTTCTCAGCAGCATCCCAACCCTTCAGTGCAATGTGAGTCATCCTCAGTTCCCACTCAGACAACTGCAGAAGTCATTCACTGTTCTGACCTTTCACTTTGGTCCCCCAATAACCCAGGAGGCAGAGGAGTTCTTCTAAATGTGAGATCACAGATGGACTTTTAAATGTTGTTGATATGTCAGTCCATAGAGACAAGATTAAGGAATGCTTGTGTAATTTGATAATGGAGACTCAGACACTGGTAACCTGCAATATGAAACTTTAGGTGGATGGCCAGAGATGAGATAGCATTCTCAATAGTAATCACCCATTAGTAGCATAGATATAGAGATCTACATTTGTAAAGGTGTTGACAGATATTCAAAGTATATCATCACACGTCATAAACAAGGCAAAATGTAAGACTCAAACACCAAATGTTACTGAGAATGTATACTGGTAGAAATCCCCATAGTGCTATAGGACTAGACTGGCACATAACTGAAATACAGTGTATTATATTCTAGTTAAATTTACATTTTACTTATCCCATGACCTAGCATTCTACTTCCAGGTACATATCTGAGAAGTCATGCACATCTGCTATGGACATTCCTGGCATAATGTTCACAGCAACATTGTTCATAGTCTTTCCTAAAGTAGAAGGATGAAGATGACAAAATCATTAGTGAATCATGAGAGATTTGTAGAGAGATAGCAGCATAGAACAATGGAAAGAAAAGAACTATGATTTCATGCAATAACATGGTGGAAACCTAAATGAAGTGTGAATAAAAGAAGCCATGAATAAAGTTATAATTTTATGTATTCATGTGAAATCTAAAGACATATACAATGAAATCACATTACAAGCTGTATATTTAGAAGATAAAACTACAAAGAAATGTGAAAAAGCAGTTACCATAAAAGACAAAACCACAATCATCACTGTATAAGGAGGGAATCTGTAAATATAAAGGGTTAAATACTTGAAAATTAAGATCACACAGCTCTTCCATTTCAATAGCTCCCCCAAATATACATCTAAATGGCACATTGCAATGAATGTGCTAAATTTCACAATTTAAAAAATGTTAGAGCAGAAGAAACCACTACCACCTGTCCCCATCATGTTGATACTTTAGGGTCAGACATGAGTCCTGCTTGTTGCCCAACAGGAACTAGGAAGGTATGCCTCTGTGCATCAAGACCTGGGAAAGGTATCAGCCTTGTCTGCAGCTCCCAGAAGGCATCTACTAGGGGTCCCAGTCCCTGGTACCACCTGGTACTCACCCAGTAGGAAACAATCCATACCCTTAGGACTGTGGCTGCTGGTGCCAAAAGCCTAGCATCAACTTTGACTGTCCCTTGGTATCTGGGGAAGGTCCCAACCATGTTTTCATGTGCCAAAGACAGGTATTAGCACCCCAAACAAACCCTGGCATCACCTGCATTTACCTGGCCAGAAATAGAAAAGGGTTCCTTCCCAGCCTACTGCCTTGGGACTGTAGCTGCACATGGAAAAGCTCCAGCATCATTCAAGCTCATCCCTGGGTTCCTGTTCCGTGCAGCTCCAGGACTGTGGGTACCAATTCCACAAGCCTGGGCCCTACTGGAACTCAGTAGTAATGTAGAGACATCCCTATCCATGTTCTATAGCTCCAGAGGTACAGATACCAAAGCCACAAGGCCCAGTATCAGATGCACTCAACCCTCAGGACCTAAGGGAGTAGTCTATGTGCTATAGTGCCCCGCGACCAATGAATAAAGTTATAATTTTATGTATTCATGTGAAATCTAAAGACAGATACAATGAAATCACATTACAAGCTGTATGTTTAGAAGGTAAAACTAAAAAGAAATGTGAAAAAGCAGTTATCAAAAAAGACAAGACCACAATCATCACTGTATAAGGAGGGAATCTGTAAATATAAAGGGTTAAATACTTGATGAAAATTAAGATCACACAGCATGTGCCCTGGGGGACCTAGGAGGGTCTCTTCCTAGGTCCCAGCCTATGGACTCAAGGCCATAGACACAGATGTCAAAAGCCCTACTATCACTTACATTTGTCCTTTGGGATCTACAGAAGGTACCATCTGGGTTCCACAGCTCCAGGAATGCAGCTACCAACACCACAGGCACCAGCAACACCCAGAATCATCCAATGGCACCTGGGAAAGGTCCCCTTTGTGTCCCACAACCTTAACTCCATGGTCACCAGTACTACAGTCCCTGAATCACCTGTGTCCATCCCACAAGCCCTGGATAAGATCCCATCCAGTCCTGTGGCTCCAGAACTGTGGCCCTTGGTACCACAGGCCTAGGCATCTCTTACTTTTGTCCTCAGCATCCTGGGAAAGGACTCCTTCACATTCTGTGGTTTGGGGACCAGGGCTGCCAATGCCACAACCCTTAGGGTCACCTGTACATGACTTGAGTGATCTGGGGTCAATGCTGTACCACTGATCTGTGGCACCTACCACTATAAGCCTCAGGGCCATCAGTGTGCAGCTCTGTGGAATCTGAGGATACCTACCTTTGGAATTCTAAGTCCACTGCAAAGTTATGCAACTACCTTCACTAACCACTATACTCTAGACTAGAGCAGCACTCACAGGAAGTACCAACATCAATCAAAGCTGAAGAAGCTACACTTTTGAGCTCACCTGCACCCAAAGCCAAAGCATCTACCCAATACCCTAGGTCCTGTATTATAGGAAAGAGTTCTTTCCTATAAAACCTAGTCTATCAAACTGCAAGAGGCAACTGTTACACTAGATGCTCAGACATCAACACAGGGACACAAGAAGCATGGAAGGAAACATAATACATTCAAAGGAAAACAATAATTCTGTGGAAGGAGATCCAAATTTGAATAATCTATGAAATGCTAAGAAGTAATTCAAAATAATGATCTTAAAGAAAGAATCTCCGTGAGCCAGGCATGGTGGCCCACGCCTGTAATCCCAGTGGTTCAGGAAGCTGAGACAGGAGGATTGTTTGTTCAAAGCCAGCCTCAGCAACAGTGAGACACTAAGCAACTCAGTGACACTCTGTCTCTAAATAAAATACAGAATAGGGCTAGGGATGTGGCTCAGTGGTCGAGTGCCCCCAAGTTTAATCTCTGGAACCAAACCAAACCACCACCACCACCACAACAACAACAACAAAAAACCCTTGGTGAAATGGAAAAGGAAAACAGAGAGATAATATGGAGAAATCAGAATAAAAAGTTAAGGTATAAGTGAGAAATTCACCAAAGAGGCAGAAATCCTAAAAAAAAAAAAACAAACAGAAGAGAAAGAGAAGGAGAGAGAAAGGGGGAGAGAGGAGAGAGAGAGAGAGAGAGAGAGAGAGAGAGAGAGAGAGAGAGAGAGAAAAGGAGCAAAACAAAGAATTAGTAGTTCCTAGGAGAGTATGGAACACTGTAAGGAAACAAATATTTACATTATGGGAATAACAGGAAGTAACACACACAACACACACACACACACACATACACACACTCTCACAAAACAAACAAAAAACAGGGAAAAGCAATGAAAACATATTTCATAAAAAAATAGCTAAAAACCTCCATCCCAAATCTTCAAAGAGATGTACACATCCAGATACAAGAAGTGCAAAGTGGGGCTGGGACTGTGGCTCAGTGATGGAGCGCTCGCCTGGCATATGAGAGGCACTGGGTTTGATTCTCAGCACCACATATAAATGAATAAATAAAATAAAGGTTCATCAACAATTAAAATAAATATATTTTTACAAAGGGCGTGGATTGTAGCTCAGTGGTAGAGCACTTGCGTAGTACAATGAGGCACTGGGTTAAATCCTCAGCACCACATAAAAATAAAAAAAATTAATGGGGTTGCTGGGGTTGCAAGACCCTGGCTCAGTGGTAGAGTGATTGCCTAGCATGTGTGAGGTACTAGGTTCAATTCTCAGCACCACATAAAAATAAATAAATAAAAATAAAGGTTCATCCACAACTAAAATTTAAAAAATGGTTAAAAAAAGATCAAAGTACCTCAACTAGATTAAACAAATAGAACTTTGCCAATGTATGTTATAGTCAAAATTTCAAAAGCATAATACAAAGAATTCTAAAAAGAGCAAAAGAATCAAATCAAATATAAGGGAATGTACATTAGACTTCAAGCAGATTTCTCAGCAGAAATTTATAGGCCAGAAAAAAATGGGTTGATACGTTCCAAGTCCTGAAAGAAAAAAAAATGCCAACCAAGAATATCCTACCTAGCCTGGTGTGTGGCACATACCTATAATCTCAGCAGCTCAGGAGGCTGACACAGGAGGACCACGAGTTCAAAGCCAGTCTCAGGAAAAGTCAGGTGCTAAGCAACTTAGTGAGACCCTGTCTCTAAATAAAATATTTTTTAAAACGCTGGGGATGTGGCTCAGTGGTTGAGTGCCCCTGACTTCAATCCCTGGTACCCCCTCTAGCAAAATTATCCTTAATACAAAAAAAAAAAAAAAAAAAAAACAAAGGAAGAAGGAAAATCTTGCTCAAATAAGCAGACCAGCCCCTCAGGAAAGAGTTAATAGAAGTCCTACACTAGCCACAAAAGGATAATAACCAACATCATGAAAATACACTAATGTACAAAACTCATTGGAAGAACATATACACAAATAAAAACTGAAGAGAATCAAATCAAAACTACCAAATCATAAAAATAAATAATATCAGAAATGGAAGGGAACCAAAAAATAGAAAAAAAGGCAGAAAATAATAATAAAAATGACAGGAGACAATTAATACCGATCAATAATGACTTTGA